CATGCGGCGAAGCGCGTGCCTGTGCCCGTTCGGGCAAGACGTGCGAGGCCGTAGCCTCTAGAACCCTCCAGAACTCTGGCTCGCATGAAGACACTCATGGCTGCAAGTCAGAAGCTGGAAGTCGGAAGCAAACGGGGGTCGAGAAGGGGGCATAGCAAAATTCGAGGGGAAGGATGGTCGAGGAGAAGGGCGGTCGAGGAGGATCGAGGGGGATCGAGGAGGCGGATCAACCGACGGGGGTCAAGGAGGAGGATCGACTACGATCGAGGAGGAGGATCGATCGATCCCAAGGGGGGGTCGCGAATCAGCTTTCCATGCTTCTGGCCGCTCCCGGCGCGGGGGAGGCGGCCATGCATGGCGAGGAGGGGGCCCTGCGGCGGAGCCGAACACTGGCCGCAGGCAGAGTCCACGCGCGGCTGCCTGCTCAACCCCCCCGCTTGCGGGGGTCGCCTGCGGACGACGACGACGACGACGACGACGACGACGACGACGACGCCGACGACGACGACGACGCCGACGACGACGACGACGCCGCCGACGACGAACGACGACGACGACGACGACGACGACGACAACGACGACGACGACGACGACGACGACGACGACAACGACGACGATGGGCGGCGGACTGGACGTGACCCACCCCGCACAGTACAGCGTTAAGTAGAATCTCCTGCGCGGAGCTGCTGTGGGGCAATCGCGAGGGAGAGGCGAGGGCGCGGAGATTGTTTTCTATGCCCCCGCAGCTCTCGGGCCTGGCCCTGAGGATGGAGGCTGGAGCATCGAATCTGTGTTCTGTTGCCCGCTTTGGGGCCTCCCGGAGCACCGTTGCCGCGCGTCGTTGGAAAGCGAGGTAAGGATGCGAGACCCTTTAGGCGTCCGTTACGGCGGGGAGGGGGGGTCGGGGCTGCAAGCGCAACAGCATGCTTGTGAGCATCAAAGCACACCTGTCAGCACCACATCATGCCTGTGAGCACAGCGACATGCCTCCGTGGGAACCGCCCCGACCCCCTCGCGTACGCTTAGTACCGCCACGGGGAGGGAGGGGAAGGGGGCACCCTCCGTAACAGACGTTACGGGTTCACCGAGTAAGAAAAACTAGCCTGGCGAAAAACTCAATCCTCTGCAGATGTGAGTACCGCAGTTGTGGGTATCGTCTTCCGTGGAGCTCCCCTTGGGGCCACCAAACGCTGCACTGGGCGGGGGGGACGCATGCGAACTGCGCCACTGGGACCTTCGGTGGAGCTCCATCTGGGGCCACGAAACGCTGTACTGGACGGGGGGGACGCATGCGAACTGCGCCACTGGGACCGTCGGTGGAACTCCCGAAGCGATGTACTAGGCGGGGGGGACGCATGCGAACTGCGCCACTGGGACCTTCGAGTGAAGCTCCCTCTGGGGCCGCGAAACGCTGTACTGGGTTGGGGGGCGCATGCGAACTGAGCCACGGGGACCTTCGGTTGAGCTCACTCTGGGGCCTCGAAATACAATACTGGACGAAGGGGACACATGCGAACTGAGCCACTGGGACCTTCGGTGAAGCTCCCTCTGGGGCCACGAAACGCTGTACTGGACGGGGGGGCGCATGCGAACTGAGCCACGTGGAACCTTCGGTGGAGTTCCCTCTGAGGCCACGAGACGCTGTAGTGGGCGGGGGGGACGCATGCGAACTGCGCCACTGGGACCTTCGGGTGGAGCTCCCTCTGGGGCCACGAAACGCTGTACTGGACGGGGGGGACGCATGCGAACTGAGCCGCCTGGGACCTTCGGCAGAATTCCCTTTGGGGCCACGAAACGCTACACTGGGCGGGGGGGACGCGTGCGAACCGAGCCGCCTGGGACCTTCGTCGGAGCTCCATCTGGGGCCACGAAACGCCATACTGGACGGGGGGGACGCGCATGCGAACTGCGCCAATGGGACCTTCCGTGGAGCTCCCTCTGGGGCCACGAAAAGCTGTACTGGACGGGGGGGACGGACGCATGCGAACTGCGCCACTGGGACCTTCGGTGGAACTCCCCGTGGGGCCACGATACGCTGTACTGGGCGGGGGGGACGCATGCGAAATGCGCCACCGGGACCTTCGGTGGAGCTCCCTCTGGGGCCACGAAACTCTTTGTACTGGAAGGGAGGACGCATGCGAACTGCGCCATTGGGACCTTCGGTGGAGCTCCCTCTGGGGCCACCAAACGTTGTACTCGGCGGGGGGGACGAATGCGAACTGAGCCACCTGGGACATTCGGTGGAGCTCCCTCTGGGGCCACGAATCCCTGTAGTGGGCGGGGGGGACGCATGCGAACTGCGCCATCTGGGACCTTCGGTGGAGGTCCCTCTGGGGCCACCAAACGCTGTACTGGGTTGGGGGGACCTGTGCGAACTGCGCCACTGGGACCTTCGGGTGAAGCTCCCTCTGGGGCCAAGAAACGCTGTAGTGGGCTGGGGGGACGCATGCGAACTGAGCCGCCTGGGACCTTCGGTGGAGCTCCGTCTGGGGCCACGAAACGTTGTACTGGACGGGGGGGCGCATGCGAACTGAGCCACTGGGACCTTCGGTGGAGCTCCCTCTGGGGCCACGAAACGCTGTACTGGGATGGGGGGACGCTTGCGAACTGAGCCGCCTGGGACCTTCGGTCGAGCCCGTTCTGGGGCCACGAAACGCTGTCCTGGGCGGGGGGGGCGCATGCGCACTGAGCCACTGGGACCTTCCGTGGAGCTCCCTCTGGGGCCACGAAACGCCGTACTGGGCGGGGGGATGCAAGCGTAACTGCGCCACTGGGACCTTCAGTGCAGCTCCCTCTGGGGCCACGAAACGCTGTACTGGGCGGGGGAGACGCATGCGAACTGCGCCACTGGGAGCTTCGGTGGAAGTCCCTCTGGGGCCACGAAACATTTTGTTCTGGACGGGGGGGGCGCAAGCGGACTGCGCCATTGGGACCTTTGGTGGGGCTCCCTCTGGGGCCGCGAAACGCTGTACTGGGCAGGGGGGACGCATGCGAACTGAACCACTGGGACCTTGGGCAGAATTCCCCCTGGGGCCACGAAACGCTGTGCTGGACGGGGGGGGCGCATGCGAACTGCGCAACTGGGACCTCGGGTGGAGCTCCCTATGGGGCCTCGAAACGCTGTACTGGGCGGGGGGGCGCGCATCTCAGCTGCGCCACTGGGACCTTTGGCGGAGCTCCCGGAGCTCCCTCTGGGGCCTCGAAACGCTGTACTGGACGGGGGGGGGCGCATGCGAACTGAGCAACTGGGACCTTCGGTGGAGCTTGCTGTGGGTCCACGAAACGCTTTACTGGGCGGGGGGGACGCATGCGAACTGCGCCACTGGGACCTTCGGTGGAGCTCCCTCTGGGGCCGCGAAACGCTGTACTGGACGGGGGGGGGCGCATGCGAACTGCGCCACTCGGACCTTCGGTGGGTCTCCATGTGGGGCCAGGAAACGCTGCACTGGACGGGGAGGGACGCATGCGAACTGAGCCACCCGGGACCTCGGGTGGAGCTCCCCCTGGGACCACCAAACGCTGTACTGGACGGGAGGGCCGCATGCGAACTGAGCCGCCTGGGACCTTCGGTGGAGCTCCTTCTGGGGCCACGAGACGCTGTACTGGACGGGGGGGCGCATGCGAACTGCGCCATTGGGACCTTCGGTGGAGCTTGCTGTGGGTCCACGAAACGCTTTACTGGGCGGGGGGGGACGCATGCGAACTGCGCCACTGGGACGTTCGGTGGAACTCCCTCTGGGGCCTCGAAACGTTGTACTGGGCGGGGGGGGGCGCATGTGAGCTGCGCCACTGGGACCCTTGGTGGAGCTCCATCTGAGGCCTCGAAACGCTGTACTGGAGGGGGGGACACATGCGAACTGAGCAACTGGGACCTTCTGTGGAACTCTCTCGGGCCACGAAACGCTTTACTGGGCGGGGGGGGCGCATGCGAACTGCGCCACTGGGACTTTCGGTGGAGCTCCCTCTGGGGCCGCGAAACGCTGTACTGGACGGGGGGGGCGCATGCGAACTGCGCCACTCGAACCTTCGGTGGGTCTCCATGTGGGGCCAGGAAACGCTGCAGTGGACAAGGAGGAACGCATGCGAACTGCGCCACTGGGACCTTCGGTGGAGGTCCCTCTGGGGCCGCGAAACGCTGTACTGAGCGGGGGGAGCGCAAGCGGACTGCGCCATTGGGACCTTCGGTGGGGCTCCTGTTGGGGCCTCGAAACGCTGCAGTAGGCGGGGGGACGCTTGCGAACTGCGCCACTGGGACCTTCTGTGGAACTCCCTCTGGGGCCTCGAAACGCTGTACTGGACGGGGGGGACGCATGCGAACTGCGCCACTGGAACCTTTGGTGGCGCTCCTTCTGGGGCCTCGAAACGCTGTACTGGGCGGGGTACGACACATGCGAACTGAGCCGCCTGGGACCTTCGGTGGAGCTCCTTCTGGGGCCACGAAACGCTGTACTGGACGGGGGGGACGCATGCGAACTGCGCCAGTGGGACCTTCGGTCCCTCTGGGGCCTCAAAACGCTGTACTGGGCGGGGGGGACGCATGCGAACTGCACCATTGGGACCGGTGGAACTCCCTCTAGGGCCACGAAACGCTGTACTGGGCGGGGAGGGACGCATGCGAACTGCGCCACTGGGACCTTCGGTGAAGCTCCTTCTGGGGCCACGAAACGCTGTACTGGGTCTGGGTGGGAGAGGCGCATGCGAACTGCGGAGGGAGGGAGGGGGAGGAGAAGGAGGAGGAGGAAGGCGATGAGGAAGGAAGGAAGGGGGAGGGACGCGGGCCGCGCTCTTCATAACGAGGACCCAACACCACAGGATGGTTGGGAACCATCTCGAGGGGGTGCGAGGAAGAGACGCGCGACGCGCGGAGAGGACTGACTTGCAGCGGCGCCCTCTTGAAGTTGCAACCAACTGTGCCGATTGCTCTCATCTGAAGGGCACGCGTTGATGATAAACCGCGCACGTCCATCCGCGCTCCGCCCGCGTCAAGCGGGTGGAAATGCCTCGTAGCCCTCCGCCACGTACGCCACGGCCTGTCCGCCCTCCATAAGTTTCCCTGTCCGAAAAACTCGCATCCCCGTCGGTCCGCCCCCTCCCCTTTTCCTTCATCCTCGATCCTCATGCGCCTCTCTGCGCCTCTCTGTTCCCCTTTCTCCACTCATCCCTTCTCCCCTCCTCTTCCCCCCTCCTCCTCCCCTCCTCCCACTCCTCCTCTCCTCCTCCCTCTCCTACTCCCCATCTATCCTCCCCTCCTCATCCCTCCTCACGGTTCCCCTACAATTGCACATATCTCGCCCGTTCCTTGAAGCTGAGGGGAATCCCAACTCATGCGTATTGCCGCTCCAAGGTGAATCGACCAAGTTCGCAATCGAGTCGCCAAAAAAATCCTCGCCTCTGATCACTTCCCCGCGGGAGGGTGGGCGGGGGGCCAGCGGGGATTTCCGGGGCGGGGGGGGGCCAGGTGGGGGTCCGCGGGGGAGGGAGGGGAGAGAGAAGAGGGGGGGGACATCCCCGAGCCCCCTCCTTCAAGTGGCTGGGGCTATCGTCGGGTCAGTCTGCCTTTCCTTGAGCCATCAAGGCCCGCTATATGGCCCTCTCGGAGCCAACCTCGGCACTCTTGGGCGTCTCGCGGCCGTCTTCAAAGTCCTGGGGGGGCAGCCGAAAAAACAAAATTGCCTGAATCCCTTAGGTGCTCGCATGGTCGCCTCATCGGTCGCAAGAGGGTCCACGACGCCCCGAGAGCACCTCAAGACCAGCCCAGGATGGTCCAAGAAACCCCCGAGAGAAGCAAACAAGGGCCCCCACACGACGACGCCAAGAGGGCCACAAGAAGCACGCCACTGTCGCACCGCTGGAGGCCAACCCATCCCAAGAGATCCACAGGAGGCCCACAAGAGGCCTCAAGAGGCCCCCAGACGTATCCAAGTGAGCACAAAGGCCCCGAGGAGCCCGCAAGAAAGCCCCAAAGATCCCCGAAAACTTCCCCCCGAGGACTCTTGAGCACGACCCCGGCGCAGTATCAGGATGGACCGAGGACCACTAGATTTTCGCCGTCGCATTCGGAGCCAGTCACTGCCTCTTGCCCCCGTCCCCACATTCTGCCTCTTGCGCCCGAGCCCTTCCCTTCTCAAGGTCGGTGGCACCAGCCGTAAGGCCTTCGCAATGATTCCACAGCAGCCAATTGTCTGTCTAAAAATCCGATCCCTTGTTTTGTCCCATACGGGCCCGCCGGAAGTCCCGGCCCTTCCCTGGGGCTGGACCTTCATCCCGAATCATATGTGACCGTCACCAGGGTTGCCTAGCGACGGCCCTTCAGAAGCCAAAAACGGGGAGGATGTTTCAATACGTCGGAGGTCTGGCCTTCTTTCCGACGGCTGTGGAAGCTTGCGGACTGCTCCGGTACCCATCGGAGTCGAGCTGCTTACCGCGTTCCTCTGTCATTATTATGGTGTGAGTGCGTTGGCAACGGCCTGCTGAACTCGCACAGCAGATGCGCATCTCAGCAACTACACTAAAAACGTTGGAGTAAAGACCACCGGTGTCTAGGAAGGGATTGCGAGGTTGCTTGGCGTATTATTTAGGTTGACCCCTGGCGTTCCTCACAAATCTGCGCGCTGCTGGGGTTTGAAAGGGGCTTCGTTCCAAACCCAAGATACATTACGACAAAAATTAGTCTACGCATTAGCATACAGATTCTGCGTCGGGCCTTTGATGTTTAACATGAGTACCAAAACTTGGTGTATTGGAGTAGCTGGTGGCAGCTCAGTTCTTACATATATTCTGAGACCCTCGATTCCCAATCGCCCAAGCTGGCTTTGAACACGACCCCGCACTCGCACTGCCATGAGACAATTTCGCGCATCGGGGCTAATATTCCAAGTCGGCTCATCGGTTTGCACGGATTGCATCGACTGCTGCAAATTTCGAATCCACTCGTATCTCCTGACAACTCTCGTATGACCAGGCTCGACGCACTGCCTCGACAATCAATAATGTGAAATGGTTACAAGTTCTGCCGAGTAGCCGAATGGAAACAACACCTGAAGCTCCTTATCCATTGACTGCACCGGGCACGTTGAGTTTACAACCTGACATTGCGGGGTTCCCGTAAGGCGCTTGTACGTCGTACTTGCCACTGGCAAATGCTACGTGAGCGTTGCCAAAAATGCTAGGCATGAGAGAACTTCCACGGGATTTGCTAGGGGGTAAGGCTAAAAGAGGAGCGCACTGTCCTAGATGGAAACCATGACGTCGGTTGTATTAGTGTCACCGCTCATAGCCATACGTCCCCAAGACGAGGGTTTTACTCTTGAACCCAGAACGACCGTTTAGAGTCTTGGACAGACGCGTATGGGATAACCGCAGCGGGATCCAATGAAATTCGCGCGGATCCGATTGGGGTCTGGTTCCATGTTTCAGTGGATCCTTTTTCCGTCCGCGCGGATCCGGATTAGGATGTTCTGGGTCCGCGCCCAGTCCAATTTTCACGGCGGATCCGATCTCTACCCCGTTAAGAAGGTTATGAAATTCAAGCAGGGAACCCGAAGAAATCGGATCCGCGGACCCCGGAGCCCGCCCGTGTTAAGATTCTACGGGGGAAGGGGGTTCGGTCATCAACTTCCCAAGATGGGCCCTGCGATGTCTCGCGCAATCCCATCAACTTTTCGCGAGCGCGGGTCCCACTCAACATGAATACATATCTCTCCTCCCGGTTGCTGCACGCAGCTCATCCAGACGCCGTCCGTTCGGCGGCGCCGATGTTCTCGCGAACTCCTTATCGCCAGTGTCACCTCAAGAGTAAAATCTCTCGTCCTGCGAAATAATGATTAAACTGATATCGATGTGGCTGCTACTTGGGTGCTGAAATGCTGCTACAGGATTCCCATGAGGCCTCCAGACGGGCCTCACGGGGTCCAAAAAGTGTTGAAGACAGCCAGAGATGCTCCCAGGAAGCCCCAAAGACACCCGGGAGGGACCAAAGAACTCTCAAGAGAGCCTGAGAAGGCCGCCAAGAGGGCCCAAAAATATGTTTGATGCGTTATTGTTCTCGGTGTGCGTTTCCTTTCACCACTTCTGCTGCCAAGGTGGCTGCACCCGAACCCCCTTTGCAGGCTTCCAATACATGTAGTGATCGTAGTGTTCCTGGATGGAGGCGGGGAACGAAAGGGACGGACTCGTGGATTCGTGGAGTATTAGGTTATTGTGGTACCAACATGTATCAACAACGAATCCATCAAACACACCATCGCAAATCATAGGGAAACCATCACATGTCAATCTGGACACCAACGCCAAACGACCATTGTCTTGGCGAATGACCCGACCATATGCAGTTGTAAGTACCGCACTTGTGAACATCGCAAACAGTGGACCTCCCTACAGGGCCACGAAACCTGTGAGGGGTGCGCCGACATGGGCCTGGGGGCGTATGCAGGCCCTGCCACCGGGGCCTCCGGTGGAATTCCAAGTAGGGCCACGAATCGTGTGAGGGGTGTGCTGACATGGGCCTGGGGACGCATGCAAGCGCTGCTACTGGGGCACCCGGTGGAAGTCCATATGGGGCCACGAAAAGTGTGAGAGGTGTGCCGAAGTGGGCCGGGGACCGCAAGCGCCCCCCACCCCACACATAGGGGCTTCGGTGGACCTCCCAATGGGGTCTCGAAACGTGAAAGGGGTGCGCCGACATGGGCTGGGGGACCACATGCACCCTCCCCCCTGGGGGCTTCGGTGGAGCTCCTTACTGGGCCACGAAAGGTATGAGGGGTTCGCCGAAATGGTCTGAGGGACCACATGTGCCCCCCTCCCCCTGGGGCCTTAGATGGAGCTACCTATGGGGAAACGTAGGAGGGGTGTGGCCAAATGGACATGCGGACAGCTGAAGCAGGGATGGGAGGAGGGAGGAGAGGGACGAGGAGGAGAGGCGGGGCGTTTTCTCTTCAAAACGAGGACCCAACGCCGCAGGATGGATTGGAAATACATAGTTGGGCCACCTTCGCGAATCAATCACCATCAAATCTCGACACCTCCGCAGACCAATCAGGTCATCATCGCACATCCAGTGGAACACTATCGGGACACCATCTCAAATCAATCGCAAACAAACTAATACAGCATTGCAAATTGAGCGGGAAATCATCGCACTTTGACTGGGACACGATCGGGACAACATCGCAAATCGATCACAAATCAATCGGGACACCATGGCATATGCATATACATATACAAATATAGAGGTACATATAGATAGATAGATATATAGATAGATAGATAGATAGATAGATAGATCGATAGGTAGATAGATATATAGATAGATAGATATAGATATATATATATATAGGTAGATAGATAGATATATATATATATAGAGATAGATATATGGATAAATAGATAGGTAGGTGGCTAGATAGATGGATAGATAGATAGATAGATAGATAGATAGATAGGTAGGTAGATAGATAGATAGATAGATAGATATATGGATAGATATATATATAGACATACGTATATATGTGTTTATGTGAGTGCGTGTGTGTGTGTGTCTGTGCATCATGGTGGCATCATCGCAAATCAATCGCAAATCAAGCGCAAGTCGATCGGGGGGTCTTCTGCGGCGCTTCTTGTGAGGTTCCTGGAAGCCTCGGAGGGCCTCTGGGTAACCCTTTGAAGCCTTCTGGAGGCCTGTTGGGGATTTCGGCGGCCATTTTTGGTCTCCTGGCAGACAACAGACCAGCAACTCTTGGCTCACAGACATCATTGGATCTCTCCCATGGTCTGCCAACTCTTGGCACGCAGTTCTGCCACCAAGATGCGTCGCTCCCATCCGCCGCCATTCCTCGCACCCCTCCCCTCATAGAACAGGCAGCTGTGGTCGTTTGGCACAGCGCGCCGCAGCACCACCGGCATGTCGGACTGCGCGTCGGGTCGCCCGGGCACGTGACCGAACAAATCCACAATGCAACCAAGACTGGCATCCTGTGGGTGGAACGTTTGTGCAACGACGGCCACACAGGGAAACACGGAGCCCCATGGGTCAGACCCCAGGGGCTGGGTGGGGACCCTGAGGCTGGAACCCCATGGAACGAGCCTGTGCAACGACGGCGCGACCCCACCACCCAGACGGTCCTACAGCACGGGACACTTTGAGTGGAATCTGGCGGGTGGAACCCTGTGGGCAGGGCCCTCTGCAACTGAGGCCCGACCCGACCGCCTGGGGTCACCAAGGCGGGACCCCATGGGGCAGGACCCCAACGGGCGGGCACTGTCCGTGGACGAGAACATATCCGCATCCACGGCCCCGCAGGCCAGGCCCCTGGGCCGCGACCCTGCGGACACGGGGCGTTTTTGCGCGGACGCCCCGCACAGAACGTATCCGTGCGGCCGCGTATCCGCAGGGCCGCACCCGGGAATCCAGACCGCGAGGGCGCGGGTATGGATACGCTCGCCGCTCGTGAGCTGTGGGCGGGATTACGTGCAACAACGGCGCAGCCCCACCACCCAGGGCAACTCGGAGGTGATCTCTGAGCCAGGACCTGATAGCCGAGACCATGGAGGGGGCAGGACCACAAGGCCTGGAACAGATGAACGGGACCCTGTGCAGCTACGGCTCGACCCCACCCAGGCAGCCACAGCCACACTCCACTGCATGGGGTAAGGGACCCTACGGACAAGACCCCGAGGTCCGGTACGACCAACCCCATGCGGGCGTCCTAGAACTACACCACATCACTCCGCACACACCACAACCACTCCGCACTTTACACCCAAAGTAAAGCCTGATCAGCGCAATCGCAAAAATATCAGGATGACATGCAAACGCCATGCCGCGGAGCGCGAATATCGTCCCTCCGGAGAATTCCCAAGACCTCCCCCGAAATACACGCATTCTATGAATGCGGCCCTGTCAGTCCGCGCCGTACCCTAGCATCTGCCCCAGCATGATAGCCAAAATCATGCCTTCTTCACTGCACGCCCACACCCTAATCCTCAGTATCGTCCTCCTCCTCCTCCTCTCCTCCTCCTCCTACTCCTCCTCCTGATCCTCATGTACATAAGTGTACTCCTTCTCTTCCTCTTCCTCCTGCTCCTCAATCTTATCTTCCCCATCGACCTTTATTGACTCGTCAACATCCTCGTCGCCGTATTTCCTCCGCATCCTCCTCTTTCCACCGCCACCGCCTCCTCGCCCTCCTCTCTCTCTTCCTCTCCTCACGAACGGCCTCCGGCACTGGCGCGGCCGCGGGCTCCCGCCACCTCGCGCTGCACTCTCAGGGACACAGTCAGGCAAGCCAGAAAGGGGAGGGAGGTGGGGTGAGGGACGGGGCTGGGCTCCAGCCTGGGCGCAAGAGCTGGGCGTGCGGCTCGAGGGGAGGGGGTCGCCGTCGTCGTCGTCGAACGGTGGCACGAGACGCTGAAGCTGTGTTCAAAGACCGCAGTGCCCGAAGGGACACAGGGACGGACGACGCGGCGAGAAGATCCCATCGCAACCGCCTTGGCGCAGACTGGGCATGCGGCCCTGGGCGGGGGAGGGAGGAGGGGCGAAGGAGGAGGGAGACCGCACGAGTTGCAGGCGCCCCGTGGGCCTTCCTTGGCGCTCCGCCATCCAGGAGCTCCGGCGGCACCGAGGCCGCAGACCGCGGTCTGGCGAGAGGGGGGCGCTGCCCCGAGAGAGGCCCCGACGGCCGGGCCCGGGCAGGCTGCGGCAGGGGCGAGCCCGGTGCTGCCGAAGGGGCCGCGTGGCCGCACACCCCTGGGAGGGTGGTGCAAAACCACCCGCGGCCGACGGCGGAAGATCCGGGTCGCGCGGCGCCCCGCGCGGGCCCCGGAAGTCGGGGGGCGCGCGAGAGCCGCATCACGTCCTCAGTGCAGTGCAGGACGGGCCGCAGCGCGCAGGCAAAAGCTGGCTGAGGCCAGGCGGGGCGGGCCACCCCCCGCGCACCGCCGATGGTAAAGTACAGTGGAGGCCAGTCCACAAGAAACCTTCCACAAGAAACCCAGACCCTGAGACCCCAGGACGCTCGTTGGTCTTTGGCGTGGAAGCGTCACGCTTTCCATCGCAAGACCATCGAAACCCAAGAAACCCAGGGCACCCTGGAGGCAAGCAGGGTGCTTCTTGGCATGGACCCCCACTGTAAGAGAAAGTACGTGGTGATGGGCCTGCGGAGGTCCGCGCTGAGGTCTCGGGTCGGTGCTGGACCCCACCACCCCCGCAATGCGACGCCCGAGGGACGGGCCCCTGGCGCCGAGCAGAGACACTCCGCGTGGGCCCGCGACAGCTCCTCGACACGAGAGGAGGAGAAAGCACAGACCGAGAGGAGGAAGGACTCGCAGCCAAACTGCGCGTTCGACCATGGTGGGACCCCTCGTTGCACCTGTCCGCCTTCGGCGGTAATCGGTGGCCTTTCGGCCATGATAGGCGGCATTCCGGCAATTATCGGCGTGGTGATCGCAGGTCGTTGGCTATCTTTGGCGGTCGTCCGCGCGAAAGCTGGAGGACAAGCTTGACAGTGAGCGCAAGATGGCATACCGAAGCCAACAAGAATCGGGCCAGGCCTGGGACAGGCCCCGGCCGGCGCATGGAGCCCGCCCCGGGGCCGCCGCAGTTCTCCCGGACCCCGCAGCCCCCCGAGCGCCGTTCTGGAGAGCCACCTCGAGCCGGCGCTTCTATGAGAAACGGTTTCGAAAATCCGCCTGCCCCCTTGCGGGCCCAGCTTCAAGGCTCCAATATTATGGTCATGCTTTCTACTCCCTATTGTAAACTGTGGAAGTCCGCTCGAGGGGGGGGCCCAAACTAGCTTTTCACCACGCCCAAATCGCTTGCTCTGAATTCCTGCGGCGGGGCCGTGGAACATGTAGAAATACGTGACACTCGCGCCCCCGAGGCTACGAAATTGAGCAATATCCGCACCCCCGAGACCACGATACCTTTCATATTAAGCAACATTCGCAGGTCAAAGGCCATCATCCCTCGTAGGTTCGCGTCCCGAAATCACGATCGCTTTAACATTACGCTGAATTCGCGTCTCCGAGACCACGACCCGTTGAAATTACATTATACTCGGGTCCCTGAGGCCACGATCCCGCGCGAATCACACTATTTGTGTGTGTGTCCCCGAGGCCAGGATCCCTCGTTAATTACACGATGTTTGCGTTCCCGAGGCCACGAGCCCTTCTAAACTATAAAATACTCGCATCCCCGACGAGTCCTCGTAAATTGCACCATAATCTGGTCCCAAAAAGCCACGATCCCTCATAGGTTACGCTATACTCGGGTCCCTGCGGCCATGATCTGGCGTAAACTAAACAATGTTCGCATCCCCGAGGCCACGATCCCTGGCAAAGTAAGCAATAGTCGCGACGATTGTCGCGTTTCCGACGCCACGATCCCTCAGAAATTAAGCCATGCTCGCGTTCCTGAGACCACGATCCCTTGAACTTACACTACAATTGAAACCTGTTGCGAAAATTCAGTCCATGCGTGGCGCTTGGCATTGAAACGAAGCTCATCTAAGCTGCCATCGAAGAATCGGGTGTCCGAAGGCGGTCCCAGAGCTGGCCAGAGCTCCGCGGCAGGGATTCGTCCCAGGCCTGGCGATTCGCGTCTCCGAGGACACGATCCCTCAAAAATTACAAAATGTTCGCGTCGATGCCACAATCAATCCCTGATGAATTGCGCCATCTCCGAAGCCACGATCCCCAGTCAATTACGCCAAATTCGCGTCCACGAAGCCACTGTCCCTGGTAAAGCACTCCGAGGAAACCGAAGACCGTCCAAGCCGCGCGATTTTGTCAAACCTAACCTCGAGTAACCCCCAGTCGTTCCACGAGGGCCTCCAATCCACATCATGAGGGGAAGTTCGGAGAAAAAAGAAAGAAAGAAAAAAAAACAAAAAACAAAAAAAAAAAAAAAAAAAAAAACGATCTGGATCTACATTTATCTTGAAAATTACCAGCTCGCCCTCGCATGAGGATTCGATATTGCTTCACGACGGCGCCCAGGCATCCCAACAGACCTCCTAGACACTCCACAATGATAAAGAGGGGGCTGGCGGAAGATGGCGGAGCCCTGACGGGTACTAGCCCAAAAAAGGAAAGTTGTTGGAAGCCCGAGCGGATTTAATTGGTTGGCGCTGGGCCCTGGATCACTCCGCGCGCCAGAGGAGGGGGTACAGCGCCGACACACTGGGTCCGCGGACATTGGAGGCCTCCCCGTGGATGCCACGAGCCACCCGACGACACAACGCGCATGAGCGCACTACCGGGGAAAGTGGAAGAGCCGCGCTGGGCTGGGCCACCAGCGGGGCAAGATCTGCGGGGGGGGGCGAGAGAGAAAGTGAGAGTGAGTGGGAAAGAGAGAGAGAGAGAGAGAGAGAGAGAGCGAGCAACACCTAAGGCAGACGAGGAGGGCGACGGGTGAGCCACACGCGGCCGATGGGGCGAGCATGACGTGAACACCTTACGGAGGCCTGGCATGGCCGCGCACGCGCGCGCAGCGGCCGTTCCGCGGCCCGGTAGGGTGCTCCACCAACGGCGGCACTGGTGGCAGCGTCCGCATGGCGTGCCCGAATCAAGTTTGGCACACCCGTCACACGCGTCGTGACCCCAGAAATGGTCACCGAGGTCGACGCGCCAGGAAGGAAAACATGTGGAAACTGTTGTTTGATGTGCGGGGCGAGAGCGAACCTCTTCCGCTAAAAGCTAGGCGGGCTACCCACAGCCTTTATTAGGGAGACAGGGCATAGGAAGGCGGGGCCTCAGGCGGCCGGAGCGGGCGGGGCCCGGGGTGCAGGCGGCGCCGAGGTGGAAGTGCAGGAGCAGGTACGCCGCGGACTGGTACCGGGGGCGAAGACCCAGAGGGCGAAGGAGATGGTGTTGCCGTCGTTGGCGCATCACGAACACCAGCCTCAAGCACTGCAGAGGGGGACGTGTCACTTGACCAGGTCGACGCCCAGGAGGAAGAAGAGCACCACGAAGGCGATGTGCAACGTTGTGCCACCGGGTGATGCCGAAGAGGCCCGGGGTGGTAGTCCAAGCCGCGACCAGGAAGCAGCGTAGTTTGAGGAGGGGCCTCAGACGAGGGGGCCGTTCATGACCGACAGGAAGTCGGTGGGCTGCGGGGAGAAAACCTGCCCTGCATCGCCAGCGCGTGAAGACGGGCAGCAGCCACGCACGATGCGCTGACGTGACATGTGGAAACAAACGTATGCGTGACATGCTTGACGGTTCTGATAAGGAAAAACTGTGGGGGGAAGGGAACAAAAAGGAGAGAGACAAAAAAAAAAAAAAAAAAAAAAAAAAAAAAAAAAAAAAAAAAAAAAAAAAAAAAAAAAAAAAAAAAAAAAAACGTATAGTACTGCTATAGTTGATGGCGTTGGTAAGGTAAACGCGTGAAAAACATGGATGCAACTGGTATGTTTTGCAGGTGTCGTAAAGAAACCTTGCGAAATCTCCTCTCCTCCTCCTCCTCCTCCTCCTCCTCCTCCTCCTCCTCCTCCTCCTCCTCCTCCTCCTCCTACTCTCATCGACGTCCCCCAGGGACAATGCAGGCAAGAAAAAAATCGAAAGCACATGTACAGTACGGATATGTGTGGAGGTTTTGGGAGGGCGCTGCGAAAACAAAAATATTCCTCATGTTGTTGGACGTTCTCGTGAGGAAACCTTTTTGTGGAACACACAGATATTCCTGATATTTGCCAGGTTTTCATGATGCGGGGGCGCTGCAAGAGGGTTGGAGGAGCAGGGGGAGGAGGAGCGCCCTTTCCACAGAAAACCAACACATATCAGGAATATCTGTTATGTCCACCGTGCTGCCTTGCGAAAACTTCCACCTTACTAAAGTATATGTATATGTGTATCTGTAAAAATATAGATATGCGTGTGCGTGTTCAAAAATTATCACCAAAACCATCAAACACATCAGGAATATCTGCGTGTTCAAAGGGTTTCCTGCATGGCGCATCGTCCCTGGGGGTCGTTAGGAGGAGGGGCACCCTTCCCCAGAAAACCAACAGATATCAAGAATATCTGCGCTTCCACAAGGCTTCCTCACGAGAACCTCCAACAGTATCAAGAATGTCTGTGTTGTTCTAGGGTTTCCGTACCAAAACCATTACAAATATCATAAAGATCTGTGCTATCACAAGGCTTCCTCCATGGAACAACCCCTGCACGTCCGCCAGAAAAGGAATTTATGTGCACCACCGCCTCAAAGCGAATCCTATGGCACGGCCACTCCCGCAGGATGAGAGATGTATGATTACAGGGGCGCGACCAGATTTGTATATGTCATTCAGAGGAGGCCCGAACATGCATGCTCATGTGGGGGCGGACGACTATATATACACACACACACACATACACACACACACATACAAACTGTAAATGGGATGTGGCGCGGTGGTATTATCCAGCCCGTTTCGCCGCCACATCCCAACGGAGCGGCGCCAGAGGCGCACAGGCCTCTGTTGGGCCTTTCTCAGTTGGACACTCTGGGGTGAGTTTTCTTGCTGGAGCTGATGACGGTGCGCAGAGCTTCGGTTGGCTCAGGATGGGGGGGAATGGAGAAGGGACCAGGACGGGGAGGGGGGAGGAGGGAGGGGGAGGCGGGAAGGGGAAGGGAGAGGGGGGCCGGGAAGGGGAGTAGGAAAAGCAGGAGGAAAAGGGATGCAGGTGTCGGTGTTCCTGCTATGAAGAAACGACCAGTTTGGGCCGGCGCTCTTGCAGAGCTGCCGACTGCGTACGACAGAGAAAATATGCCAAGGATGCAGATGTCGCGCGAACAGGCAAAAAAGACTAGGGTGGAGGACGGAAGTGGAGAAAAGGAGATGATTGATTGATTGAGCACTTCCGCAGGGGTGAGGGCACCAGGCTGGCTCGCTCTGCCAACTTATGGCTCCCGAGGAGGGGGACCCCGCACCCACCACACGACCGCCCGCATCCAGGCGGGGAGCACTCGGCAAGCCTGGGAAAAAGAAAGAAGCGGCATGCCGCCTGCAGTCCTGCCCGCGCCGCTGCGCCTGGCCATTCTGCGAGAGAATAGTCAAGAAGGACGGCCCCTGCCCTTGCACCCAAGCACGGCCGGAGGGGGAACCGATATTGATCCGCTCCAATCGCTCCACATCGCTCTGCAAGGACGCGTCATCTGTGGCGAGGAACGTTTCTGCGCGCGTGAGCTCGTTCGTGAAGGTGTTCTTCATCTTGTTACCCTCCTTGGGGTCGACATCCTTGAGCTTCTCGGCAATGGCCGTGATCTTCAAGCCGAGATGCGTGACATCCGTGAGCTTCTCCTCGACGGCCCTGAACTTCAGTTCGGTCTGCTGCTGCTGCTGCTGCTGCTGCTGCTGCAGATGTCGCTGATGTTTCTCGAATATGTCGCTCGCGAGCTCCAGCTCGGCGACCTGCCGATGTCCTCCTCAATTGTCGCATGAAGCTGCTCGAGCTGCTCCATCTTCAGATGCTCCTGCTTCAGCTGTACCTCAAGCTTCGTCTGCGCCGTCTTGGGAACCTCATTGGGGGCCTGGCCCCCATGCTGCCACAGCACATTCTCGCAACTGCCACTGCGCTCAGAGTGCTTATGCTCATTCCAGTGCTTCGCAACCTGCAAAAGCTCGAGGAGTGCGGCTGCCAGCCCTCGAGGACGAGCTGCACGACTGCGTCCTTTGCTGAGCGTGCCCAGCAGCGCTGCAAGCGGCCCCTCGTCTGCTGCCCGCAGCTCGCCCTTGGCCTGCTACACGTTAGGCGCGCCCATGGGACGAGGGGGTCTTCGTCTCCACGGCAAAGTTGAAGATCCTCTGGCAATGGCGCGATGGCGAGTTTAACCGACATGCGCACTGCCGCCTTCCTGTCACTGGCCTTCAGCCCCTGCACGCTCGCGATAGCACGCAGCGCTTCGCCAAGCCTGGCAGCAAGCAGCCCTGGCGCGGCAATGGCGTCCAAACCTCTGCTGCGCAGAGCCGCCACTAGCCCGCCAAATGGCTTGAGCCAAAATCGGTGCGGGAGAAACGGAGATGAGGAGGAGAAAGAAGAAGAGGAGGAGGACTGGGAAGAGGAGAAGGGAGGAGGGGAGGGGGCGGGAAGAGGAAGGAGAAGGAGGCAGAAACAAGCAGCTGCACGAGCACCAGCACCAGCACCAGAACCAGCACCTCAACCAGCACCAGCAAAGCGACCGCAACAGCAGCGGCGGCAGCATCAGGAAAAGGATCAGGAGCAGCGATGGCAATAGTGGCGGCGGCTGAGGCGACAATTTTCTTGCCAACTGCCTGACCCAGCTAGAGTATGCGCAATGCCCCCGCCTCTCTGTCGACTCCATGCCGTAGTCTGGCAGTGACTCTCAGATGCCTGAAATGCGAACGCGAAGTAACACACATATAAGGCCACTGTGGAGCCACAGCGACGACAAAGGCGAGACGCGGCAACATGCGCACAACTCCTGATTATGTGTTTTCTCACGCTGGATACATGCACATGCATGCATGCGGTCACGAACTACCCGAAAAGCTGCACCGCATGTTTTCAATGGCGCATACCTGGGGAAAAGGGGCGAGAGAGATTGATGGGGAGCACGTGAGCGACATGCTGCATGTCATGCGTGCCCAGACCTGTTCTGCTCAAATAAATCCGTACAACCCTTCATAACTCAGCCATCGTCATCCGAACAAGGGAGGCATATTATCGCAGGCGGCCCACCAGGGCTGGCTGGTTCCAATGAGATCAATATGTGATGCATTTCCTGGTTCCGCACGCGGCTGCATCAATTATACGTACCAGCGAGTAGTGTCATCCTGCGTCTCCGACTGCAGCACTCCTCGTGGCCGACCGCGAAGGTAGTCGTGGAGGAGGAGGAGGCGGAGGTGCTTCGCAGACTGGGCGTGAAGCGTCCCCGAGAGCCTTCACCACGGCTGTCCTTCGGTCACGGCCACCACTGGTGTCGGAGTTAACTTGCTCGGTATCGTAATGCTCCTGGTGTGCATTCTCAATCTACAAACGTTATCATCCTTAGGCACCGTCTCAAGAACAACTCCTGACACGTTCGGCTGGTCTTCGCAATGGCGCCCAATGCTTTATCACTTTTTTTACGTCAGCGGTTATGCAGAGCAACTGCGCCGGCAAAAGAGCTATGTGAACGGGGACACCATTTAGCGAATTGCGCCACAATGCGCCAATGCTTTGTCACAGGCGTATCTCGCATCGGCTTGATGAACTTGGATCGGATTCGCCCACATGATCATGTACTTCATTACGCATTATTCACTCTTCCCTCCTGGACTGAAATGCGCTGCACACCAGCAGTATTGAACAGATGTCCCACCCTCGTCTCAAAATCACCCGAAAAGTACGCGGATTCTTCGAGCCGTCAGGAAGAGCTTGCCGCGATGGGTGGGTACTGCAGCATGTACTCGGCCGTTGGCATCATGATCTTGGCCGACACTGTGGTCCTCTCCTTTGTAGCTTTGTCACTGACGGTGGTCTGGGACTTCCGCCTCTGCTCTTCCAGAATCAACTGCTCGTGTCCCCTTCAGCTCGGGCCAGACGTCCGATTGACGCAGCGCCACTCGGAGTCTGCGGTGGTCGAACAACACATTCACGTCCACCTGGCTCTGCCCCTGCTGCCACGGTGCGCTTGGCATTCGCGATCCTGGCCAGCCGGCGCGCCGATAAAAAAGTGCATGGCGACCTCAACGCCCGAATTGGTGAGACTTTCGACTGGCCAGGTAAGGTGGGGGGGGCTCAACTCGGAAATATACGACATGGGGGGTGCGTCCGAAGAGCCCTCACGGGGGGATTCGGGGACGCACTAACTCGGGTCAGCACAGACACGGGTCGGCCAGCGCCCTGTCGCGAAGCCCAGCCGGCCGCTGAGTAGCTCCCAAACCCACGTCAGCGAAAAGAGGAATGGCGGGGTTGGCTCCACGTGCCTCCCAAACCTGGGTCAGCCAAAGGGCATCGGAGGGGATTGGCCGACCCCCAGTAGCTGACCCGTCGCCACGTGCGCCGCAAAGAGTGTATCTCCAATCGGCTCCGTCGTTTCTGAACAGCCCGCTTGTGGATGGCAAAACTCGGGGACCTTCGGCAGAGCTCCGAGACGCGTCAGAGCCTGCCGCTCGAGTTCCTAGACATGTGTGTGTGTGTGTGTGCGTAATCTTTGCTGGAAACGCCGAAGGCGCTTTGCGAGAAACCGCCCGCGAGCTCAGTCTCGCCCTCGCAGCCGGTGGGGATGCCAGGCCGTGGAGCCTTCGCGCCTGCGTCCGCGGCCTCGCTCGGGCGCGCTGCACCCCA